TGGAGAGATTAAGAGTTTTGTTGGTGAGATTAGTTTGTTCCTTCGAGTGATTTGTAATCTCAGTTTGTACTCTTTCTCTATTAGTGAAAACCCCATCCCCCCTTGCCCCGTGGACGTAGGCAACTTGCCGAACCACGTTAAAATTGGTGTTTTGTTTGTGCATTGATATTTGGTTCGTTTGGCTCTCTTGGATTGGCGTTTGGTTTGGTTCCTCGACACAACTTTTGGCACAACATCTAGAAGAGTCAAAGGTTTTATTTAGGGGTTGTTTGGTTGGTCCAAAAACAGCAGAAAAAGCCCACTTGACTCTGGAGAATTTTCATGTTTTCCCCTACAATTGGCTGTTTGGTTTGCCAAAAACAAAAAAAAAAGTGATGGAAAATTGCACTCCCAGCTAGGATTTTCTGGCTGAAACTTTTCCGCTCCTCAAAGTCCGATTTGGGATAACTCCCACTTCTTCTGCCGTACAAAAGCGCTCGGGGAAAAAAGGGGGAAGATGAGTTTCGGTTTTGCTCTCCTTCCCAGCGATCTCGTCACTGCTCCGCCTTCACCTTCCCACCGGCCTCGTTCCCGGCGATTTCGTTACCCTCTCAAGCATCTTTTTCCTAGCGATGTTGTTCCCAGTTCCACCGCCAATTCCACCACCACCTCCTCCGCCTCCACCTCCAACTCCTCTACTCGCCATCAAAATCCATAAAAAAACCAAGCAAAACTTTAGAAATTTCAGGAGCAAGCAAAAACTAGCAAATAGGAAAACAACTGCTCTCCAACCCGCGATCTTTCCTTTCTCCCAAAGTAAAACCCCCAACAAAGTTTGACAAACTGGAGCCTAGAAATTCAAATGTTGGTATTTTTAGGATTTTTGAAGTTTGAAGAAGAAATCAGCTACTCTTGTTTCCCCCCTCCTCTTCTCTTCTACCTCTCTTTTGACCCTCTCTCTCTCTACATTCTCTCTCTAGGATTTTTTGGACTAAAATTTGATTGAAATTGAAATTTGGTGGATTTTATTAGTATTTTTTGGGAACCGGGTGACATTGGGAACATTCCAATCTCTATTAGATGTCGTTTTCTTCCCTCCATTATTTTTTCTTATTTTCTCAAGATATTTTGTTTTAAAAATGTTTATATAATGGTATTTTTGATATTGAAACCTCTTAAAATTTCATTTTTACCTTAACACACTACTCGGAAAATGGATGAAGCTGCAAGGGTTTTCTTCACTATCATCATGTATGCTTCGCAATAATTCTAGTTACAAGAAAACTAATATCCATATAGTCTTATTAATATCAATATTGGACCTATTTACAACATATTTTCTCATAATTAGTTGAAAGTAGTCACTAAAACTTAATATTAGTCTATCAAATTTTTAGAGATTTTTGAATTACCCTCCTAAATGTCCATAATTAGTTGAAAGTAGTCACTAAAATCTCAAAATATATTACAAATTACCCTCTTAAATTTAAAAGTAGACCCCCGAATCTTTAAAAAATTTCAATTTTCTCTCTCAAATATTCATATTTTGATTTTAGTCTCTCAAATGGGGTTATAAAAACTTAAATTACTCTCACATAATTAAAGATTTGGACTTACTCCCTTGAACGTTCATAATTAGTCCCTCAAATCTTTTTAAATTTTTATAAATTACTACATTATATTTAAAAAGTGGTCATATTTCAGAATTTTAGACCCTTAAATGATGAGTACTCTCACCCCACTTATGTTTGACAAGTATTTTGTCTTATTTGAGTGGTAAGCACACCATGGTGACTACACCATCGTTTCTTCTATTTTTGTTTTTTGGAAAAAAATGCTTCTAGCCCCCAAAACCCAAGAAAACGTGCTTCCTCCCAAGACTTTGTCAACGGGTGATTTGCCCCTAAAAATAAAGATTTTGTTCTCTGAGCCCCAAAACATAAAACCCAAGAGATTAAAATATGTGAAGACCATAATGCCCTTTTCTCTCTCTCTCTCTATCATGATATACTGAGATGATAGTTAAAATAATTGATGATGATTATTTTATTATTTTTGTTTTTTTATTATTTTCGTTGTTGATGAGGGGAACTAACTGTTTGTATTGGGACTTTGGGAGATTGTTAAAGTTACGGGTTAATTGTTAAGGTTACGAGTTAATTATTAAGGTTACGGGTCAATTGTTAAGGTTATAGATCCATTCTCTTCCTCCTTCTCTCTCTCTCTCTCTCTCTCTCTCTCTCTCTCTCTCTCTCTCTTTATCATGATGTTACTGTGATGGTGTTGAAATGATTAAAGGGGATTGTTATTTTATTATTTTTGTTTTTTTATTATTTTCATTGTTGATGAGGAAACTAATTTTTTTTGTTTGTATTAGGAGATTATTAAGGTTATGGGTTTAATTGTTAAGGTTACGGGTTTTTTGTTAAGGTTACGGGTCGGTTGTTAAGGTTACGGGTCGGTTGTTAAGATTACAGGTTTAATTGTTAAGGTTACTGGTTTGTTGTTAGGTTTACGGGTTAGTTGTTAATGTTATGGGTCAGTTGTTAAGGTTACGGGTCGGTTGTTAAGCTTATAGGTTGGTTGTGAAGGTTACACGTTGGGATATATATGTATATATATTTTGAGTGGAATGAGTACTTTGGGTCAATTGGCTTAGTGGTAAAGTTTGGGAGTTTGGACAAGAGGTTAGAGGTTCAAACCTCTACAGCCACAAATTTTTCAGAATATTCATTGTTAAGGATAATGATTGGTTGTTAAGGTTACAAGTTTGTTATTAAGGTTACGGGTTTGTTGTTATGGATATGCGTTGGTTGTGAATGTTACGTCCTGGTTGTGAAGTTAACCTACACAACAAACCCGTAATATTAACAACAAACCCGTAACCTTAACAACCAACATGTATCCTTAACAAGGAATATTCTAAAAACCCGTAACGGGTTGGTTGTGAATGTTACGAGTTTGTTGTTAAGGTTACGGGTTTGTTGTTAATATTACGGGTTTGTTGTGTAGGTTAACTTCACAACCAAAGCGTAACATTCACAACCAACGCATATCCTTAATAACAAATTCGTAAACTTAACAACCAACCTGTAACCTTCACAATCCACCATTATCTTTAACAACGAATATTCTAAAAATATTGTGGCTGTAAAGGTTTGAACCCCTAACTTCTTGTCCAAACTCCCAAACTTTACCACTAGGCCAAGTGACCCAAAGTACTTATTCACTCAAAATATATATACATATATATATATATATATATATATATATCCCAATGTGTAATCTTCACAACCAACCTGTAAGCTTAACAACCGACCCGTAACCTTAACAACCAACCCATAACCTTAATAACAAATCAGTAACCTTAATAATTAAACTCATAACCTTAACAATTAAACCCGTAACCTTAACAATAAACCCGTAAACTTAATAACTAACCCGTAACCTTCACAAATCAACCATTATCCTTAACAACGAATATTCTAAAATATTGTGGCTATAGGGGTTTAAACCCCTAACCTCTTGTCCAAACTCCCAAACTTTACCACTAGGCCAAGTAACCCAAAGTATTCATTCCACTCAAAATATATATACATATATATCCCAACGTGTAATATTCATAACTAACCCGTAACCTTAACAACCGATCCGTAACCTTAACAACAAACTCGTAACCTTAATAATTAAACCCGTAACCTTAACAATTAGACCCGTAACCTTCACAACCAACCCGTAACCTTAACAACCGACCCGTCACCTTAACAACCGACTCGTAACCTTAACAACAAATCCGTAACCTTAACAATTAAACCCGTAACCTTAACAATTAAACCCGTAACCTTAACAATCTCCCAATACAAAAAAAAAAAGTTTCCTCATCATCAACAAAAAAAAATAAAAAAAATAAAAAAATAAAAATACAATCCCCTTCAATCATTTCAACATCATCACAGTAACATCATAATAAAGAGAGAGAGAGGGAGAGAGAGAGAGAGAGAGAGAGAGAGAGAGAGAGAGAGAGAAATGATCCATAACCTTAACAATTGATCCGTAATCTTAACAATTAATTCGTAACCTTAACAATTAACCCCTAACTTTAACAATCTCCTAATACAAATAGTTAGTTCCCCTCATGAACAACAAAAATAATAAAATAATCTTCATCAATCATTTTAACTACCATCTCAGTACATCATGATAAAGAGAGAGAGAGAGAGAGAGAGAGAGAGAGAGAGAGAGAGAGAGAATGGTATTATGGTCTTCACATATTTTAATCTCTTGGGTTTTGTGTTTTGGGTGCTCAGAGAACAAAATTTTTATTTTTAGGGGCAAAACACCCGTTGACAAAGTCTTGGGGGGGGGGGGGGGAGCATGTTTTCTTGGGTTTTGGGGGCTGGAAGTATTTTTCCTTTTTTTTTATTTGAACTAAACATTAGAAAATAAGGGGTTGTTTGGTTGGTTTCTTTTGCCCCTGATTCCCCGTCAAAACTGACAGTTTGCTGTCAGTTTTGGCAGCTTTCTTGTTAAAATGTCCTTTTTAAGGACGTTTTTGTAAGAAAGCAAGCTGTCAGTTTTGACAGGGAATCAGGGGCAAAAGAAGCAAAACAAACAGCCCCTAAGAGAATCAATTCATACATCAACTATTTTCTTATTTTTTTCAATTTGAACAAAGCTAAAGAAAGCGATGGAAAATAATTATTCCTCATATTTTGAACCAAGCTAAAGAAAGACTCTTCAAAGAAAGTGAGGGAAGCACTAAAAAGTGAAGGAAAGTAAGTTTTAAAAAGTGAAGGGAAGTAACCAAACATCCCCTTAACATAAATTCATCTGGTCATCCAACCAAACAGAACGAGTTGGTTGATTTTTCCAAACTCCTTTATTAGGCATTTACAATTTTACGCCATTTAGGAAAAGGCTCGGTTTTCTGCAAACTTTTTGGGGGTTAGTCTGCAATTTATTCTAATCTCCGGGCTCCAAAAGATGATTTGAAGAGAAAAAGATTCCATTCTCTCTTTCTAGAAACAAGTGCTGAGACGCAGCCAACCAAATCAAAGCAGCCATAGAGTCCCGAGCCGGTCTTCACGCTGAGCGCGTGCGAAATTTTTCCATGAACTTCAAACCCTCTCTCTGAATCCTACCTAAATCCTGATAAATTATCATTTCCTTCAAAATTTAAAATCGCCTCATCTCTCCAACCATTGGAATTATCGACTGTAAGTCTTCTCCTCAAAAATTTCAATCTTTATCTCTCTGCTTTTCGAAAGTTCCCCCTTTTTTTTTTGAAATTTTCCTGAATTTTTGTCCGACTAAGGGTGAAACCTGTTAATTTTCACCGAAATTTTTTGTGACTTGCTGTGGATTGTAAAAGCCCTAAGTAATTCTTATACTGTCTAAGTTGTTATTATTTAATTAGGATAAAAAATGCATGAGCAAGGGGAGCATGTGGCTGAGAAGTTGCTGAACAATATAATGGAGAGCTTTGCTGATGGTGGATCGAAGCAAAAGAGGTTCTTTGATGAGGGGACTTCAGTATCGACTCAAATGAACAAGCTTTTTGGGCGGCAGAAGTCTGTTCACCACATCTTGGGCGGTGGAAAATGTGAGAAATCTTAGTCATTTCTTGGTTTTAGATGTTTAATTTTGGGAATTTTACGAGTAATTTGTTGGTTTTTTTAGCTGCTGATGTCTTGTTATGGAGGAGCAAGAAGATATCTTCTAGTGTTTTGGTTGGGGCAACGGCGGTCTGGGTGCTCTTTGAGTGGCTCAATTACCATTTCTTAACTATTGTTTGCTTTGGTTTGGTCATTGGCATGCTCATTCAGTTTGTTTGGTCTAATGCTTCAGGCCTAGTGAATAGGTAATTGGATTTTCAAATTTCAATTGGATAAATAGCTGAAGGACGTGTGCATAATGAATCTTTATTTTGGGCAGGTCAACATCGGAGGTGCCTAGATTTGTTTTGCCTGATGACCTGTTCGTGAATATTGCCATGTCGATTGGTGCCCAAATCAATCAGTTTTTGGGGTTCATTCAGGATGTGGCTTGTGGGAGGAACTTGAAGCAGTTTGTTATGGTATGTTCTGAGTAATTGTTATTTGCTATTTATTGTTATTGACTTAGTCTGAGGTGGTTGATGGTTATTGTGTTTGATTAAATAGCAATTGTCATGTTCCTTCTATGTATTTGAAATGGTTTATCTAGTCTAAATGAAGCTTAGTGCAGTGGTAAGCCTAATTCTGAGGGATTGAGGAGATGTAGGGTTTAATCTATGGTTCTCGGAACACTTTAGCCTGACCAATAATTGTTGTCCTCGACATGATATATGTGTCTATCCGTGTCCAACACCGACAAGAAATAAAATTTTTAACTAAAAAAAATGTTCTTATATACCTCAAAAATAGACCCATACGAAGAGAGCTATATGCATCTATTTATACTTATGCGAATTGTAACACCCCTTGTTAGTGTTAGGATGAAAGTTACTGTATATAACACCTGCTTTCAGTGTTATGAAAAAATGCTTCTGTCCATGGTCACAAGCACCGGTTCTAACGTGGATCTTGGAGGTTAAGTTTTCTGGATTTTCTGAATTTTATTGTTGGTGACAACAAGCTTACACTACTGTCCAGTATCTTCTCATTCTTGATGTAGAGCCTAGACATATTTATTTCTTCCAAAAAAAAGTAAAAAAATAAAGCCGCCACGAAATAGGGAAGCCGCCAACAAAGCCGTCGTCAACGAAGCAGATCTCGCCCAAGCCGCCGTCAACAA